ACACAGTTCCTTCAGGTAAGTGCATGAAGCATGACAGGAAACAGTCCAGACCAGGCCATGGAAATGATCCCACTAGCATACATCTGGCATGGGTTGGGGGCAGACCAGGCTGAACCAGTTCACATCACCTGCTGGCGAATCCGAGCACCAGAACAGAATGTGGGTTGGGCCAGGTTCGGTCACAACACATACCAGTGCACATTAAGCAATGCCAAGGTGAGATGAGCTGTACCAGATGTGGTTGCAGTGCCCAAACAGCACATGTGAAAACCAGGGGGAAGGAAGTAAAGCCGACAGGGGAATGTGGGCTCCCCTGCTGACAACCGCTTCCATTGGAAAGCGTGAGTAGGGATGGGGGCAGACCAGACTTGGTAAGGCTACAACACCTGCGGGCCTCATGTGAGCTAGATAAGGGAAGGGTCAGGGTGGGCTAACTGTTCCAACTGGTGCAAGTAAAAATTAGAGTGGGTGATGGATGGTTGGGCTTAGCCGCAGCATCAGCTGGCAGAGGCTGCCACTGGGAAGCTAATTCTTTCAAGTCAAATGCCAGAACCACCTAGAGAGTGCATAATCTGGGAGTAGGAGTGGCCTAGTAGGGAGATAGCGGGCACCTCCCTCGTGGGTAACCACTCCCACTGGAGAGCACGAAAACCAGGACAGGGGCTGGGGTGGCTAGACAGAAAGGCACCTGCCAGTATGTGTGTGGACTGGATAGTAGGTTGGTTGGGTTGAACTAGGCTTCAATGCCCATTGACAAGTACGAGAGCTACAAGTATGGGATGTGGGACAGACTGGACAAGCCGGTGGTACATACTGGCAAGCATGGGAACCAGGGTAGAGGGCAGAATTGGTGGGGGTTATGGAGAGTTGTCCCAACTAGGCTGCAGCTCCCACTGGTTTGCATGAGGACCGAGTATGAAGTGGGTAGGATTGAGCTGGACTATAACACCCATTGGTTTGTGTGAAAGACAGGGCTGGAAACAGGACTGACCCGGCAATAGCAACAACCAGCATGTGCGTAAGCTGATTGGGGTGACGGTCAGTGTTGGACCCAGTATTGGCAAACTCATGCAAGAATCAGGCTTGGGATCACCTCAGATGAAGTTTCTTTGGGGATCCCTCCAACTGAACTGCTGATCTCAGAATCCCAACCATGAAGAGACTATGTCAGCCAGTGGATCCTGAATAGGTTCCATCAGGATTGGAGCAACGAGATTGGCAGCAATCCAGAACTATTGAACTATTAAAACTGCTTGAGCACGCCTCACATTGGGGATCTGGGATGGGTGGGAGGCTGGGTGGGGCTTTTCCCTTTGTTTCTCCCCTGATCCCAGATACAGGGGGAAAGATGATAGTATTAGTGTGGAAACAATGGTATTACTCACTTTCACCCTGCAACCCTTGACCCTTTGTACCCTAATCAACTAAGTAAGACGATTGAAAATTAAATTAAAAAGATTTTTAAAAATATGGCTCCTGTAGGTAACAAATAGATTTTTTTTTTTTTAATTCAGAATCTGGAATATGTTGCTCCATTCTCTTCTGGCCTATAGTTTCCTGTGAGAGGTCTGTGAATTTAATTGGCATTCCTTTATATATCAAATGATTTTTTTTTTTCACGTGCACATTTAAGGATCTTTTCCTTATGTTCGGTTGAAGAGAGCTTCATTATCATGTGTCACGGTGAAGATCACCTTTGGTCAGCCCTGTTGGGAGTTCCGTGCCCCTCCTGGATGCTGTTTCCCAATTCTTTCTCTGGATCAGTGACGTTTTCCCTTATTATTTCATTAAGTATATTTTTAAACCCAGCTTCTCTTTCTGCACCTTCTGGGACTCCCATAACTCTTAAATTTGGCCTTTTAATAGTGTCTTTCTTTCTTAACACTTTTTTTTTTAGCCAGATCCAGCTCTGCTTTCAGCTTTTTGTTTCCTTCTGGCAACAGGAAATATCTGCCAATTCTGAGATTCTTTCTTCTGCTTCTTTCATTCTATTTTGAAGATTTTCCAGTTTTAATTTGCTTCACTGTATTCTTAATTTCAGATGTCAGATTTGATTCATTTGCTTTGTGACAAGTTCCTTAAATTTCTTGAACTCCTAAATTACATGCTTCTCATTGTTGAGGTTGGCAAAAGCTTTTGCTCCTTTGCAGCAGAGTCTTTAACAATATTCATTGTGGGGTCTGGCGCAACAGCGTAGTGGTTAAGGTCCTCGCCTTGAATGCGCCAGAATCCCATATGGGTGCCGGTTCTAATTCCAGTGGCCCCACTTCCCATCCAGCTCCCTGTTTGTGACCTGGGAAGGCAGTCGAGGACGGCCCAAAGCTTTGGGACCCAGTACCCGCGTGGGAGACCTGGAAGAGCTCCTTTGGATTGGCTCAGCTCCAGCTGTTGTGGCAGCTTGGGGAGTGAATCATTGGACAGAAGATCTTCCTCTCTCTCTCCTCCTGTCTATATGTCTGACTTTCCAATAAAAATAAATAAATCTTTTTTTATAGATTATTTTTTAATAATCTTACTTAGTTGATTAGAAAAATGAATAAATCTTTTTTTTAATAAATCTTTCACGTGCACATTTAAGGATCTTTTCCTTATGTTCGGTTGAAGAGAGCTGTTCGGTTGAAAAGATTTATTTTTATTTTTATTGGAAAGGCGGATATACAGAGAGGAGAGACAGAGAGGAAGATCTTCCATCCGATGATTCACTCCCCAAGTGAGCACAACGGCCGATACTATGCCGATCCAAAGCCAGGAGCCTCTTCCGGGTCTCCCAAGCGGGTGTAGGGTCCCAAAGCTTTGGGCCGTCCTCGACTGCTTTCCCAGGCCACAGGCAGGGAGCTGGATGGGAAGCAGAGCTGCCGGGATAGAACCGGCGCCCATATGGGATCCCGGGCGTGCAAGGTGAGGACCTTAACCACTTCGCCATCGTGCCAGGCCCAAAAATGAATAAATCTTAAAAAAATATTCATTGTGCTTTTGTCTCCTCTTTTGGTCTTGGTCATTGTATTTCTGTTTAGCAGATTCTTCTCCTTGGGGCAGGTTTCTAAGCTCTGTCTCCCACAGGTCTACAATTCAATTTTACTTATTGTGGTTAGCATACGACTCTTTGTTTGCAGTCACTTGTGCCACTCCCTCCAGTGAGTTCCAGGTCTGGTTCTTATGTCAGATTTCCACTATGGTTTCCATGGCCCCAGCCCTTGGCTCACCAGTCTCCACCTTCTGGGATACCATGCTGAGGCTGCACCACTGTCTGTACAACCTTTCTCCCACTTTCTGTTACAGCAATCCCCAAGATTAGGGAGACACCAGGTGTCCTATAACTAGATTGTTGGTGGTTCTGATCTTGCCAGAACCTGTAGGCCGTTAGGTCTTAGAGCCACACAGATCTGTTCTGATGTGTATGATGCCAAAGTTGGTATTGTTTTTGCATGTGGGACTAGTGCAATCCAATGAGCTCAGTGAGTTTATACCCAGGTCAGTGCATGCGCAGCTGTTGTTCCTGCAGTCTTAAAGCTTTTGCCACAGTGTAAGAAATGGTGCCTGATGTGCTACTTGTGGAGTTCTTTATCTACTTGGACCTTTCTTGGGTGAAACCTATAGGATGCCAACGTTGTTGCAGTTCACTTAAGCAGAAATGAGCTCACTCCCAGCTTAGTGCATGCGCAGTACTGTCCACAGCCTTTGCCTTCCTATACAAAACAGCACACATTCAGCTCTAGGGGGCTGACTGGGCTGTGAAATCTACCCTGTTCCTTGCACTGTCTTCCTGGGACCTGCTGCTCTATCTCTGTTCCTGGCCAAATCAAACAGCCCAGAAGGACAAGCAGTTCTTTCGGTTCACCTCGGGAGCTCCTAGTAAAAGTCCCCTCCCACCTGGTTGCTGGTCCAGTTCCAGCTGCCAGTGGAGTTCAGATCACCGTTTGCTGGGATACTGGTCCCTGCAAAACCACGCCATTGTGTCTGCTGCTTTCCTGTGTCTGTCAGTCTCCAGGTGCCCCTCTGCTGTTGTTCTGTCCTCTCCTATTTCCTGGAATGTGCCCTCTCTGCTCCACACTGGCTAATGTTTCTCCATCTGTTTATACAGGTCCTTACCCTATTCCGCCATTTTTATTCTCCCCATAAAAGAAATCTTAAAGGATCCTCAAGGCACCAGAACACACTGCAGATTCCAAGTGGCAGAGCCACTTGTGCCGGCCATGGCTCTCTTCCCGGTACTGCATGGCCATCAGCTGGATCAGCTAATGACAGCCTTTCTTGGTTGAGATCCTGAAGGAGTTCTGGGCTTCTGGGTTTTGGTTTTGGCCTGGCCCAGCCCTGGCTTTGGGGGCCATTTGGAGGATGGACTAGAAGATGGAAGATTTCCCTCTGTGCCTCTCCCTGTCACCCTCCATTTCAAATAACAAAGAAAAGCAAAATTTTGAGCACACACGTGTCCTTAAAACAGCTTTAAATTTTTTTCCCTTTGCTGGACTTTATACTATTGCCACTTTATATGAACCCCATCAAGGGTTTTAAGTCAACAACATCCAGACACTTAGATCCTCAAGCCCAGCAGAGGCTGCCGTCTTCAGCGGGAAGACTGAAGCACAGCAGCTGCCATGACAATAGCCAGGAAGCAGGCCGAAGGCAGTGGCAATGCCATGACCGCCCCTGCACACAGCTCAACATGTCCTCAGACTAGCAGCTCTGACAGAGGGACACACACCCATTCCTGGGCTGTGGGATCACAGGCGCCTTCCCCCAGTCCCACATCCCTGTGTGGGAAGTTGGGAGAATGGAACAGGAGTCACTAATAGTGTCCTGTGACCCAGGGCAGACAACAGCGCACCCAGTGCTTGCCAGTGGTTGCCGTCAGGAGGGAATGATGGAGCGAGGCATTCTGCTCGCCTTTTTCGTTGCAATGGATATTCCTGAGGCCTGGATGAAAGCCCCAGGAGCAGCTGTGTTTCTGTCTTCGGTACAGGCTTTGCCCCTGGAGGTGCCCACCCCGCCAGGAACCTTACCGGGATGAACTGCTCCAGGCGGCCCTGGGGGAAGATGCCATACAGCTTTGGGCCAAGTGCCCTCTCGGCAAGAATGGCAAACATGACACTCTCCAAGACCATCGCTTCAGCACCCTGCAACAGACAGTGAGAGGCAAGCGTTCCGTAAGCTGTGTCCACGGTGTCCTCTGGCTCACCAGCGATTCTCTAACAAGGGCATTAACATTCTCATCACACCCACTCACTCCATTATTTGCATCTTTATTTGGAGTTTCAGAGAGAGACAGATCAAGATCTTCCATTGCTGGTTTATTCCCCAGATGATTATGTACCTGGAGCTTCTTCTGGGTATCCCACATGGGAGGGAGGACTCAAATGTGTGGGTCACCTTCCACTGATTTTCCTTGTCATTAGCAGGGAACTAGGGCAGAAGCAGAACAGCTGGGACATAAACTGGCACCCATATGGATGTTGGTTGTTACACGTGCAATAGCACTGCCCCATCACACCCAATTTTTTAAAAGGAGTTACTTATTTTGATTGTAAAACCAGAACTACAGAGAGGAGGAGAGACAGGAAGATCTTCTGTCCTCTTGGTTCACTCCCCCAGTGACCACAATGGCTGGAGCTGCGCCAATCCAAAGCCAGGCGCGCAGACATCCTCCTGGCCTCCCACAGCTCTGGGCTGTCATTGACTGCTTTCCCAGGCCACAGTTAGGGAGCTGGATGGGAAGTGGGGCCACCGAGATTAGAATCAGCATCCATATGGCATCCCAGTGCGTTTAAAGGCGAGGACTTCAGCTGCTAGGCTACCATACTGGGCCTCATCACATCCATTTTAATGAGGAGGAAATAGAGATTTGGGGTAGGTGTCGTGGCACAGCACTTAAGCCACTGTTTGGATAACACTCCCCATACTGGAACATCTGGGGTCAAGTGCACCTCTGCCTCCAGTTCAGCTCCCTGCTAATGTGCCTGGGAAAGTAGCAGCTGACAGTTCAACTATTGAGTTCCTGCCACCCTTGTGGTTAATTGGATGGGGCTCTTGGCTGCTGGTTTGTATCTGATCCTGTCCTAGCTGTTGGGGCATTTGGAAAGTCAACCAGCAAGTGGAAGACCAATCTCTCTCTCTCTCTCTCCCCTCCCCTCATTTCTGTGCTATTTTACCTTTCAAACAAACATTAAAATAGAGGAGACCCAAAGGCCACAGATTTTGCAGTTTGCAAGCATGACATTGTACTGATGACAGACTGACAGAAGTTTGGTCTACGTTACCGGTTCTGCGCACAGGACAGTGCCTTTCAGCACTTGCATCTCTTCTCAACCTGGTGCACCAATCTGTGCAGATTCCGGATGACCATACATCCGACTGCCGCAGCCTCAACTGCTCTTTGGTTGGGACAGCCGAAGAAAGAAAGAAAACTGCCCCAGTGGCCTCCTTATACCAACGGGGACAATGAGTCTGAGACCTCTGACTCGGGGCTGGGGATCTAGCTTTCTGGTCTGAAGAACACCTACCTCTGAGCCCAGACCTTCCCTCTGACCAAAGCTCCAGAAGGCCCGCACAGTCCCAACAACTAACGTGCATCTAGAACTGTTCTGTTTCAGCTCCATTTCTTCCTCAGCCTATTTCTCTTGCCCTGCGGTTGAAGAGCTTCATCTGCTTGGAGGAAGGAATAAACAGGAGCCATTTCCACACCCTGTCGGCTTTTTTCTCAGGTCACTAGGGAACCAAGTGCGTCCTGAAGAAGCACTCCACTAGTTCGCTCCATGTATGTGGGAACACGATCCCAGAGAGGCTGTTTAATGTATCTCCACATTATAAAAATGAGCTGGGAAACTTCAGAAATCACCAAGTAGTAGGGCTAGGAGAGAATATATGCACAGGAAAGTAAAAAGCAAGTTCCAGGGCCTGGCGCGGTAGCCTAACCGCTAAAGTCCTTGCCTTGCCTGCGTCAGGATCCCATATGGGAGCCGGTTCCAATCCCAGGGGCCCTGCTTTCCGTCCAGCTCCCTGCTTGTGGCCTGGGAAAGCAGTGGAGGACGGCCCAAAGCCTTGGGACCCTGCACCCATGTGGGAGACCTGGAAGAAGCTCTGTTATGGGGTGCAGCCAGTGATAGTCAGCACCTATTGACAGTAGGCGAATAATATGTGGTCCTGTCCCCCGCCCTGTCCTTAAGGTGGGTCCTAACAACAATGGAATGTTAAATTCTGTCCTCAGCCACTTCCCACCACCACCTAGGTATTTGTTCCTGCCCACCTGTGACTCACCTATCATCTGAGAGCGGGCAGTACTGCATTGTGTAACCACTCCCCTCACAAGAACCTTTAAAGGGCCTGTGAAGCAGGGGCTCGCTCTCTTTCTGGTCAGGTGTTTCTGTTGCTCTGGCACCTCAACTCTTGGCTGACACAGGACCCTGTGTACCGCTTAGATGGGACAATGGATATAGCAATATTATTTCTAGTTTGTGTGCTGTCAGGAGTTTCAGGAGAGGTGAGGCCTAGCAGTGCTGGAATGTGGGCAGAGAAGCCAGGGAACGGTGGCTGTCTGCAGCTTTGTAAGTGTGTCCGGGTTGTCTGTTGCATGTCTCTTAGGATAACTTACATTGCTGGGGAAGCTGGGACGTCGGTTTTCAGCTTAACGGATGGACTTGAGGGTAATGACCATCTGTTCCTCTTGGGGTTGTCTGGCTGGATTGCCGTATGGACGAGTGATTTACTATTCCCGGTGTGCTCTGTTATTCCAAGCTTGGCTAATAAAGACTCCTTAATAAACCTTAGATATGTCTGCTGTGATTTCGCTCACACCCCGTAACAGCTCCTGGCTCCTGGCTTTGGGTCAGCACAGCACTGGCCACTGTGGCCACTTGAGGAGTGAATCAATGGATGAAAGATCTTCCTCTCTGTTCTCCTCTTCTCTGAGCATTTGACTTTCCAATAAAAATATAGTAAATCTTTTTTTTTTTTTTAAAGCAAGTTCCAGAGAAAATCCAACCACATGAAGTTATAATCAATCCAGCTACATTTTTTCTCGTGGTTTGTCAGAACTGCAGGCTGCCCAGCATCTTGTGACCCCCACAGTAAGGGTCGAGCCATCTGTAGTTGTATTTGACATTCACACCCAAGTGACTACATCCGAAATCAGGAATTGCTGGCAGGAAGTTTCATTCTTTTTTTAAGATTTATCTTATTTTTATTGGAAAGGCAGATATACAGAGAGGAGAGACAGAGAGGAAGATCTTCCGTTCAATGATTCACTCCCCAAGTGAGCATAACGGCCGATGCTATGTCAATCCAAAGCCAGGAGCCTCTTCCGGGTCTCCCATGCGGGTGTAGGGTCCCAAAGCTTTGGGCCGTCCTCCACTGCTTTCCCAGGCCAAAGCAGGGAGTTGGATGGGAAGCGGGGCCGCCGGGATTAGAACCGGCACCCATATGGGATCCCGGGCATGCAAGGCAAGGACCTTAACCACTGCGCCACTGCGCCGGGCCGAGGAAGTTTCATGCTTAATCCCTGTGAGGCTACAGTAAATACTAAGCTCCCAATTTAGTCTTAGCAGAGGTTTCTAATCACTCCTTAGGCTCTCACAGTGAACCTTCTAGAAGGGGCAGTCACTGTGTGACCTTGAGCCAGCAACAGAGAGGTGAGTTGCCCCAGCTGTGCCAAGCAGCCTGGGCATCTACTGAGACACTCACTTCTCCACTGTCACACATCACAGGGTTCGAGTCCACCTGGCCTCCCACACTGTACAAAACCAACGGCAGCACGCGGGAGGGATGGACCTGGCCTGACACTTGATGAGCTGGGCATACTCACTGGCACGGGTCAGGGTCTCTTCTGTTTATCCTAAGAATCAATTTTTCTTTTAAATATTTATTTACTTAATTAGAACGGAGGAGGGACAATCTTCCTTTCTCTTGCTCACTCTGCAAGTGGCAGCAAAAGCTGTGACGCCAGCCCCATTTATTCACTCTCTGCTCCAAGCCAATGGATTCGGGAGATCAACGTGACTGGAGTGGTGGGTTTGCCAGCAATTCAGGACTGTTGAACTATCAAAATCTCTTCTTCATGGTGTCGTAAATTTCTATTTTTCTTCCTGTTGATTTTGTATTGTGACTTTTCATTTAAGGGGGATGTGTGGTGACTGCGTAATGGAGTATCATATCCAGATGTGAGGAGGCAGTGCGGTGCGCATCTCTGCTTCCAGATCAAAGATGGACTAATGAAACTATTAGCTGTATCTTGACAATGGGAGGCTGGACTCTGCCATTATCCATGCAATGATGAACATGTGACTGTTTATGATGAACTATGCTATAGAAATAATATGAGAATTGGGTGGGGGGAGGGAGTTTGGGAAGGGGACAGGGGAAATATAAATAAAAAACAAACAAAATTTGGGTGGTAGGAAGAGGACCCAGTGATGGCTGGGGTCACAATGGAGGCAGACACAGCTGCTATCAGAGGATGAGGCACGAAGGGCCAGGGACAGGGACAGGACTCAGATGGGGGCAGGAGGGGGCAGACAGGAGATGCAAGAGTCGTTTTTAGTGGACTTAGTGGACTTCACACTACCCATCAAGTTTCAGCCAGTCCTGGCTGTTGTGGGTTTGGGGAATGAAATAATGGATGGAAAATCTATCTTTCCCTCCGTCCTCCTTTCTCCTTCTGTTAACTTGCCTTTCAAATAAACAAGTAAATAAACACAGGTTTTTAACAGATCACAGGTTTTGGACTTCAGCTTTGGATGCCTGTGGTAGGCCTCGGACAGAACTCCCGCTCAGGAGGGCAAAGCTGCCCGCCCCCAGCAGGCTCCCAAGTGGCCTCCTGAGCTTGGAGGACACAGGGCAGGGTGCCCACCTGTGCAGCTCCACGGCAGCAGAGTCTAGGGCAGCACAGGAGAGGTATGCAGGCCAGCTCCTGGGCACAGCAGGGGCACAGGCTGCTGGGCACGCAGGATGGCTGCTGGGCACAGCAGGGACACAGGCTGCGGGGTGGAATGGAAGGAGAGAGCTGAGAAGGAGGGAGACAGACAAAAGGGCTCACGATGGCAGGACACAGGTCCTTGACTGAGACAGCAAGCCACAAGGGGAGCAGGCAATAGCTGCAGGGCCCACGGGGACCTGAAAGATGGGCAAGTTGGGGACAGTTGACACTGGCATGATAGAGGCAGCCTAATTTCTGCTACACAATTGAGGACGAGAAGTATGAGGTCACTGGGGACAAGGCAGTCAAGAGACTCTGCAGGGCAGAGGGCAGGGGCAGCCGAGACTATGGCAGGGCAGAGGCAGGGGCAGCCGAGACTCTGCAGGGCAGAGGGCAGGGGCAGCCGAGACTATGGTAGGGCAGAGGGCAGGAGGCCTCAAAGGAGCAGGGAGCTTTCTACAGATGAGCAAGGCAAAACCAAGCCCAGCAGCAGCCCAAGATGAAAACACCCCCGCTATTTCTCAAGTGGAAACACCCTAGGGCAGGCTGCAAGGCAGGGACCTCTGAGAGGCAGGCATCCAAGGGCTGTCCAGAGGAGGGGGTAAGGCATGCCAGCAGACCAAGAATGCAATCCCAAGTGATTAGGCCAAGCACTCCACTCTGCCAACCAACCAGCTGCCACCTTCCACCCCAAAGGGACTGCCCACAAATGTAAACTTGTGTTCTTGGTAGGCCCAATGAGAGGGCTGGACAAGAAGAGCATCCCAGCAAGGGGCACAATGAGCTAGCATCAGTCGCAGTGGACACCATGCACACGCTGGAACCACAGCTGTGCCTGGATGGTGAGATGCAGAGGACTCCTGGGGGTGAGGCAACACTGACTTTTGTGCACATGCACACACTGACCCCTCCCTGGCCAGGGTCCCCTTCCTCAGGCTGCGTGTGCTCACTGCTCACCCCCATTCATCCGTGTATCTGTCTGAGCAGGGCTGCGAAGAAGCTGCTCCACCTAGGGCGACTCTGGTTGCTGCACACCTGCAGGAGGACCCAGGGGGACAGAGAGCCCTGCACCAGACTGTGCCCCAGCCTTACCACCAAGGAGCCAGGAACTCCACGGCTGGCCGCCAACACACCCAGAGCCACTCCTCTAGTTCTCTAGTCCCCAGAGACATCACCATACCACTGAGCAGGAGATGGCCGAAGTAGCACACATCTCACAGAGCAGACGCGCTGAATTACTTACTTGAAATTCACTTTCCTTCTGAGTTTGTTCGGATCCCTCTTTATTACAGGACCTCTATGGATGAGAAAGAGCAAACACCTACGGTGAGACGGGGAACACCGAGCAGACACTAACCCTGTAGTCACATGTTGACCAAGGCCCTTGGGCACCGGCGCGGTTGGCCGCAGCCTCCAGCACTAGGCCCAACGTTTGGAACACTCCTCTCTTTACCAGCAAAAGGTTATGCTGACAAGAACACAACAGTGCTACACCTAAAAGGTGTCCTATGTACCTTCACATTTCAATGTCAGAGGCAAGCCAACAGGTGTGCTCTGCCCCTCAGGCCTCATAAAGACGCACAGGCGGGCCAGCCTGGCGCTGACAGAACCTCACACTTCAAGTTGGCCTGAAAGAAAAGGGCATGTCAACATGCCTAAGGCTGGCTGGCATGGGCCAAGCTGGGCTGGGAGAGGCCACAGAGCCACCACAGCCACTGCAGATATGACTGCACGACAGGAGAGTAGTGTGCTGGACTGCTAAGCCCTGAGCTTTCAGGCCTTTAGTCAGGTGTTTTCAAAGCACTCCCACCTCAAGTGCTTCATCAGCCAAAGCTGCCAACTGTCCTCCACAAGGGCAGGGGAGGCAGGCCAGAAGCTCAGGCTTGTCAAAATAGGAGCTCAAACACCACCTCCAAAACACACTGTTCATAATAATTAGGTTACATTGCACAAGTCAGATACAGAAGAGATTCCATAAAGGAAACTCTTTTAAAAACTTAAGGTAACATATTCTTGAACATCCCATGAAAAACATACCTTTGCATTCCACAGCTTTATCAAAAATACCTGTACCAAGGGTGGAAAGTATGGACAGGAAAAGAAATGCCACGTTAAGCAACACCAGCTACGCTAGCACCAGTCAAACCCAGCAACGGACAGCAGCCACTCTGGTCATACATCACAGTAACATCCCACGGCAGCTTTACGCATGGTCTGTCTGAACAGGGCACCTGCCATCCTACTCAGTAAAGAAGTAAACAGAACACCCACAAACACAAGGTTTATGTGCAAAGGCTCATAATGCTCACACTCACAGACTCAACATTCTCTTTAACACACACTTAAATATACTTGGTACAAGTACAGAAGTATAAATGGGGATATACAGCATTTTCATTTGTGTTGCCTGTGTTTCTCTGATAAAAGCTGTAACAGGTTAAATCCCGTTACAATGAAAGCTATAAAAACAAAAGTGCTACAAAAACACTTTGAGCTTTGCTAGTGCTTTGACAGGCGCTGGGAGACCCTCGAGAGGAACAGGATGGAACTGAAGCCCACCTCCCCAGTGCTCGCACTGTCACAGCAGACTCCTAGTAAACAGAAGTCCACCAGGTATGCATGGTTGGTCTCTGTCCAAAGCACGGAGCGACTCCTGACGCTCACTAGCCTTTCCACTGCGGAGCGTGGAGCACCGGACACTGGCATGGCTGCCATGGCCACGAGAACCCTGAATGGGCAGAAACGCTCCTTTCCCAGAATCCCTGTGCGTTAGATCTGGATGTGCGGCTGCAGCCTGCTCTAACGGGATTTGACCTGTACGCAGCTCTGCGTGCCTACGGTTACTCCTGCAGGGTTACCCCCAGGCTGTGCCCGCCCAGGGTGCACAGCGCACGGTTACTCGTGGCTACTCTGCAGCAGAAGCCCCTCAGCCTCGCGGAATGGTGCTCTCTGGCAGGCGCTTCCTTCAAAGTTACGAAGTGGCTTAGCTCCCAAGGCCATCCCTTTAACATCTTAGGCCTGTGCCAGTCAGTCCCACCAGCAACTTCCCCACCACAGCCCCCCGCAGGGCGTCCGTGCACCCCAAGAGCACCATCACGAGGCAGGGTGGACTTCTGCAGCCCTCAGCCCTCCGTTCTGTTTCCTCAGTACAGAATGCCCAGGTTCCCTGAGTTCCGGCCAACAAGAGCAAGAGGAGGGCAGCTTGCGCCAGGAGACACTGTGAGCGGGCAGCAGAGGCCGCCTCCTCCCTCGGGGAGCCAGCCATACACGGATTCCCTGGGCAAAAGGAACGACAAAATCTATTTTACCCAAAAAAATGCCCAGTAAAATATATTTTGTAATCTGTGGGATTTTAATTCAGTGGCAGATATTTATTTGAGACAGTTAATAACAGACATTTGCACAAATATTTAGCATAACTTCCAGCTTTTCTCCAACTAATTTGTAAGTTAATAAAAATCACCCTTTAAGACTAATTCTCTGCCACAGCAGCAGCATCCCATATGGGCGCCAGTTTGTGGCCGAGGAAACGAGCAGAGGGTAGCCCAAGTCCTTGGGCACCCTTACCACACGGGAGCCCTGAAGCTCCTGCCTTCAGGTCAGCTGGCTCGCCAGTACGGCCTTTCAGGGAGAGACTTGCAGATGGATAAACTTTTACCCTCTGTTTCTGTAAAACCAAATAAAGTAGTAAAATGACTTTTGAAAAATCACCTTGGGGGCAAGTGCAATGGGTCAAGGGGCTAATCTCCTATCCCCAGCGCATCACTTAAGGGCACCGGCTCATGTCCTGGCCGCTCCACTGCCCTTCCAGCTCCCTGTCTGTGGTCTGGCAAGGCAGCTGAGGATGACCTAACGCCTTGGGACCCTGCACATGGGAGACCTGGAAGAAGCTCCTGGCTTCGGGGCTCCCTGCTCTTCTCCCTGTAGAGATACAATCCCTGAAATGTCCCACTCACGGCTTTTGAAAAGAAATACTCACACGATAAGCCCAAAGAGATCAGAATGTCTCAATGCATTAACAGTCAACTTTATAAATATATTAAACATGAGAGGTTTACACATTGTAAACAGGTCCTTGGATGTTGTAAAGCTCTCAGAGGAGGGAGGGAGGAAGCAGGGGAGAGAGAAGAGGATAACTGCCTCCTGCCTCCCCCTTTCTCTTCCCCCACCTTCCCCTGTCTCTCCCCACCTCCCTCTGCCGCTTCGCTCCTTCCTTCCTAGTTTTCTTGAGAATCTATAGGTTACATTATGCATTCACTAGCCTGTGAGGTAGAAAATAAAACAGGCTGAAGTGATAGCAACAATAAATTATGTGTAATTAATATGTTGTTTTTATAGTTACAAAGTTTTCTTCTAAGATTTATTTATTTTTACTGGAAAGGCAGATTTACAGAGAGAAGCAGACAGAGAAAGACCTTCTGTCAGCTGGTTCACTTTCCAAGTGGCCGCAATGGCTAGAGCTATGTCAATCGGGAGCCAGGAGCCAGGAGCCTCTTCCGGGTCTCCCACGCAGGTGCAGGGTCCCAAGGCTTTGGGCCGTCCTCCACTGCTTTCCCAGGCCACAAGCAGGGAGCTGGGTGGGAAGCAGCCAGTATACAAATTGGCGCCTATACGGGAGTCCAGCGTGTGTAAGTTGAGGATCTTAGTCCTTAGGCTACTGCGCTGGGCTCCCAGAAGATGTTAAAACACAAAAGTAAGTCTTTGGCTAGACAAGAGCTTTTAGACTTAAAAGTTAAATTCCTCAGTCTAAATTCTATTATCTAGAAAGTAAGAAACTTTAAAAAAAATACGTATAGCTGAGTGTACATTTTTTTGGTAAGATTTATTTACTTTTATTGGAAAATCAGATTTACAGAGATAAGCAGAGACAGAAAGATCCTCCGTTTACAGATTCACTCCCCAAGTGGCCGCAACAGCCAGAGCTAAGCCAATCTGAAGCCAGGAGCCAGGAACTTGTCTCAGGTTGCCCACATGGACACAGGGTCCCAAGGCTCTGGGTCATCCTCTACTGCTTTCTCAGGCCACGAGCAGGGAGCTGGAGGGGAAGTGGAGCAGCCAGGACATGAACCAGCGCTCATATGGGATCCTGACGCAAGCAAGGCAAGAATTGTACCCACTACACTATCACACCGGACCCAAGACATTTTATAAAAAGTTTTGAGGGCCCGACGCGGTGGCCTAGAGGCTAAAGTCCTCAGCTTGAACACACGAGGATCCCAAATGGGCAGCAGTTCTAATCCCGGAAACTCCACTTCCCATCCAGTTCCCTGCCTGTGGCCTGGGAAAGCAGTGGAGGTCGCCCTGAAGAAGCTCCTGGACTCAGCTCTGCACGGCTCCACCACTGCGGCCATTTAGGGAGTGAGCCAGCTGACAGAGGATCTCGTTCTTCCAGGAGGGCCGCTGCCGATGCCACTCTGGGCTCCTGGCACCAGCCTGCTGGCCCTGCCAACAGCTGGCTCTCAGGGAGTGAGCCAGTGGAGTCGGTCGGTCAGTCTCAGTCTCTCTCTCTCTCTCTAATAAATAAAAATTCAAAATGTAAAGAATTGAAACAGACGAGAGACTTGTAATAGTTTATGGTACTCTCTCTATCACAACAGTCTACAATGACTCCGCACTGTTGAAGACAGGACACGGGACTAGCACATTTGAAGTGTTCTGACTGACGTGAGGGAGTTTCAAAAAGTTCATAGCAAAATGTGTATTATGGAAAAGTTACACAGGGATTTCAAATCCTTTTTGTAAAAAACAAGCATTTAATTCCATCTTCCACAAACTTTCTGAAGTACCTTTGTAGGTAACTAGAGGCCTCAGACTCTTCTCCAAGTTCATGTCGAATGCAGGGTAACCTGGGGTGAGGCTGAAATGCTGCCACAGGGGCGCCCCCCGAGCTGCCGGCAAGCATGCCTTCACTGTGTGCCTGAGCACGCGTCCACAGCAGGCAGCACTGCAGAGATCACGCAGGCGCTGAGCACCAGGCTGAGCAAGGGGCACCACGCGAGGCAAGGCGAGAGCTCACACCTAACTGACCGAATGCTCGGGGTGGCAGGCCAGTGGAACTCCAGTGTCTCACGAAGTCTGGCTGAGGCCCACAAACTTCTGCAATCACTAAAGGAAACCGTCATCTTCTACTGAGGAAACAGAAGGAAGGAATCTGAATTATCTTGGACAAAAAACCCAAAAGAACAAAACCACAAAGTGATATATTCCATCCATGACATTCTGAGCTCTTACTCACTACACTGTTTCAGACACAGCACACACTATAGCTGGTGCTACTTAACAAGCATTACAACTTTCTTTAGTAAAAAAACATTTTGTGGAGTCCAAGAACTAAAAGAAATTAAAGCTGTCACGAATGCTCCGACTTGAGAAGGCTCATACTATACCGTGAATCGTGTCTGTCACCTGGACACCAGGGTGCTCCAGGCATGATCGCATGGACAAGCCTGCAGCAGAGAACACATGCATATACGGCTCATGTGGTACATTCCCCACGCCCTCGCTCCACCCGCAGACATGCCTCCCCAGGGCGCTGGCCACGGTCACACCAGTGCTCCAGGGAGCACGCGTCTGCACTGGCTTCATGCTATAAATTCCAAACAATGAAGAGCAGCAAGACAAAGACACATCGGACATGTCAAAATTAGACACAGCAGTCTGTGGGGGATTTAGTCATCAAACGAAGGCACCAAGGCAGGTATGGAAGGACCATGGGCAGTAATTTGGCAACCATTTTTGGAGACCATTAGCTAGACAAATGCTGGGTAAGACCAAATGAGAATACACAGTCCTGGAAAATGTTTTACCTCTAAGAGGGAAATTTTTGCTAGCTTAGAGAAACAGAAATAATTAGACCATGCTCAAAGTACAAGGGGATTTTTTTTTTTCTTAAATTAACAAACAATCTATACTCGTAATGAACAAACACAATTAGCGGGAAAAGACAATTCCTGGGCTCCAGTCCCCATGGCAGGAAGCTCACTGGCAGTGCCGTCCTCTCACGGTCGGGGGACTGCCGGCTAAGTCCACGGGCTGCTTTTATCAACTTCTCAATGGTCAATAGTTTA